TGAAATTAATGACAACAAACCAGGTGCCTGTGACTCAAGTTTGTAATCCTTACTGCTCAGAAGGCTGAGATGTGAAAAAGTGAAAGGCTGAGGTTCTAGTCCAGCACAGGCAGAAACTACCCAGAAAAAAAAAAAAAAAGCTGAGCTGAATGTGTGCCTTAAGTGGTAGAAAGCTATCAAGTGAGCAAAGCTAACCCTGAGTTCAAACTCTGATACTAACAAACAAGGAAGGCAGGCAGGCAGACAAGTGGGAGGGAGGGAGGAAGAGAGGGAAGGAGAAAGGGAAGGAAGAAGGAAGGAAGGAAAGAAGGAAGGAAATAGGATGACACAGGAAGAAAGAAAGAAAAAAAGGAGAAAGAAAAAAAGAAATTAATGGAAACAAGACTCAATATTTATGAAATACAGCATAATCAGTGAAAAGAGAAAATTACAGCTTTAAAAATTCGTTTTTAAACGGAATCACTAACTACAATCACTCATCTAGGCTTCTGTGTCAAGATGCTAGAAAAGACTAAATTATCCAGTAAGTAGAAGGAAGAATAAAGATCAAATTAAACATCAGGGAAATACAAATAAAATAACAGAAAAATCAAAACAAAAACTTGGTTCTTAAAAATTATTAACAAATTTGATAAAACTTTAGACTAAACCATTCACAAGAAAACTACAAATTACCAAAATCTGGAAAGAAAGAACATCATTACTAACCCTGACAAAATTAAAAGAAACATAAGATGAAATGAACAACTTCAAGTAAACTTCTTAGAGGAATTGAACAAATTCATATAAATATATAAATATCTAAGCTAACTTCAGAAGAGAAAGGCATAAAAAAATTAGATAGTAATTTAAAATCTTCTCACTGAGAAAAGCCCAGGCCCAGATCACTTCACAAGGCAATTCTAGTAGATGTTTAAAAGTAATATAAATTCTATACGATTTCTTCTTAGAGGCCAATAATGCCTACATAACAAAACAATAAAAATCAAATTACAAAACTATAGACCATAAAATCATTAGCAAAATTTATCAAACAATCCAGGAAAATATAAGAAGAATTATATAGCATTACCCAGGAGTTAAAGATTAATATTAGAATATATATCAGTATGCTACACCATATTAGTAAAATAAAGGAGTACATGATCATTTTGACAAACCAAAATCTGGCAGAAGATATTTATAAAACATATTCTTCGTATAGGACTTAGATGACAAAGAAAAACCTTTAAAACCTATTATGAACACAAATAATCCAATTCAAGAATGTGCAAAAGATGTGAATAAACATTTACAAGATCAGATAAATGAATGACTTAGCAAGCACTATGTTAAAAAGAGAATGACATTATCAAGCTCTGGGACTGATGGGGAAAAGCACTGTTGGTTTGAATGTAAAATGCTATTAATAACTTTAAAAAACATTTTGGCAGCTTCTTAAAATTTTAAATATATATTCAGCATACAACCTAGCACACACATCCACACATTTATATCAACATTGTTTATAAAAACCAAATAATCCAAACAGCCACTGAATAGTCAATGAAAGAAAAATGTTCTACAAAATAGTTCTATTTGGTGATTAACAAAAGAATGAATTGTTCACATATGGAATAATATGAAGGATCCTCAGATACATTACTTTAGATGATAGAAGTCAGAGAGAAAATACTGTATATAATATGCAGCCTTTATATGAATTTTCTAGGAAATACAAGTCTATAGAAATTTACAAAAATCAGTGGAGATAAGGACTAACTGCAGATAGATATAAAGGGAATTTTTGGGATAACAGAAATATTGTGACCTGAATAGTTATAATGGCTCAATACTGGGTATGTTTTCTAAAAGTCATTTAACTATAGTTACAATGGGTAAATGTTATGATATGTAGATCATACCTTACTAAAGCTATGAAATAAATAAATGAAGGGCCAAAGGGAGTGACATACTTATGCTGCCTTTTCTATAGGTAACAGATTTCAGAAGAACCAAAATATAGATAATAAAATTTTCCTTTATAAAATTCCAGCTACTAAATTTTAAAATGACAATATATAAAACCAATAATTTTGTGATGGCCCTAATGAAAAGATGGCTCTCAGGGGTTGCTAAAGCTATTAGGAAAAAAGTTTATTGGAAATTTATAATGCAGGAACGAGGCTTATGCCTGAAACTAAATCATCAATCTTAGCAGTGCTAAAGATAAGCACACATTTTATACCACTTGACAAGACACATTATATACAGGGCACCAACTGTCAAGGATGATTTACAAACAACAAAATAAAATAATCTTGAACCTAAGCAAACTTAAAAGCCTAATTAGCATCTTCTAATTAGCATCTGGTGCCCCATGCCTGTAATTCTAGCTACTCAGGAGGCTGAGATCTGAGGACAGCATCTTGGGCAGGAAAGTCTAGGAGACTCTTATCTCCAATTAACCAGCAAAAAAGCTAGAAGTAGAGTTGTGGCACAAGTGTAGAGTGCTATCCTGAGCAAAGTATAATTGACTTTGTGAAGAGTGTAAATAGTATAATTCTTTTTCTTTTTTTTTTTTGTTGGTCATAGGGCTGAAACTCTGTGCCTGAGCACTGTCCCTCAGCTCTTCAGCTCAAGGCAAGCCTTCTACCACTTGAACTACAGCCCCACTTCTGGCTTTTCTGGTGGTTTATTGGAGATAAGAGTTTCACGGAGTTTCCTGCCTGGGCTGGCTTTGAACTGCAATCCTCAGATCTCAGCCTCCTGAGTAGCTAGGATTATAGGCGTGAGCCACCAGCACCTGGCTCAAATAGTATAATTCTTTAGAAAGACTAAGTCAAAACCCAACAAAATAAGTACCAAGAAATAGGTACTTGCAAGGAGTTGGTGTGGGGTATGGAGAGAAGGGTGGAAAAATGAATGGAAGAAGGGAGTAGAATGCATTCAACAATGTGTTATATATACTACAGAATAGAGAAAAATAAGGAAAGGGTAGTGAAGATGTTGAAGGGTTGGCACAGAACAAGATATATTGTATACACAAACTGCTTTGTTAAATGACAAAAGAAATTCAATAGATAACCTCAAAATTAAGAAAAATGAGGGAAGGGGTATGTGAGAATGTTGAGAGGGTGACATTGATCAAGAGGCATTGTGTTCATGAACTGTTCAATGCCAACTGTTTTGTAAAACTACTTAAATAAAAAAATATTCGAAAAAAGAGTGTAGGGACAGCACTTAAGCCTTTAGTTCAAAGCACAAGGGCTGGCACCAAAAAAATAAAAGTCAAACAAAAAAGTAGGAGACATTATTACAGAAAGGCAACTAAAGAGATAAATAGTCATACATAATACTTGTTTCAAATCTTGCCTGGGTTGTGATTTTAAGAAACTATCTTTAAAAAGGCATTTGGGGAACAACTGAGGTAATCTGAATAATGACTAACTATTTGATTTTATTAAGGAATTTTTAATTTTGTGATACTAAAGTGATTGCTTAATATTTTATGAAGCCTTTACCTGCTAAAGGTATTTGCAATAGAATGACAAAGTTTGCTTTTAAATAACCCAATAACTTTTTCAAAATAGGGTCTCACTATGTAGCATAGGCTATCCTTGGCTTCATGATCTGCCTGACTCAGCCTTCCTTGTGTGCCGGGATTTTAGGTGTCTACCCCCACACCTAACTTTCCAGAACCTGTTTTATGTGAGCCAGGGTGAACATGATGTGAGACTACCACTCTACTTTTAGTGCTCTTTTAGTATTAGAAAAGGTTACTAGACAAAGATGTAAAGATAGAGGAAGTGAAGTAAATGAAGAGAGACCTCCAAATTCATGACAAAGATTTGAAATAAAAACTGATGTGAAAATCATGAGTAATCACATATCATGTGTAATATATGAAGTCAAGTCTTTGTAGAGTATCATATAAAGACAGAACAGAAATGAATGAAAAACGCCAGAGAGAGTAAAACGATAGAGTATCATCATTTAAACATGTGGCAGAGAAAGTAGACTATCACTTGTTTCATAGAGACCCAAGAGAAAAACTGAATCAGGGAAATGAAGAAACAAACACTAACCACTAAGCATTCTGCTTGTAATTCTAAAATTTCAAATTAAATAGGAAACAACACATTTTGTTTCTTTTTACAGAAGAATTTCAAAAGAAAATAAATTACTGTCTTTTCTCTGAGATACCTGGTTTCTCACATAATGAATAACATACTCAGAGCATATTAAAATTCATATATTCCTTAACATCTGCGCAGGGTAACCTACCTAGTGTGCTACCATGAAAGTGCTTTATCAGGTGCCAGAACAGCTTTAACCAATTAGATGTGGCATTTGCCTCAAAAGATTCTCTGGAGACATCACTAACCTGAAAGCCCCATGGGCCTGTTTCCTCCCTACATGATTCGATTCTAGTACAGCACATGGTTCCATGCTTCCACTTTGCTAGAGTTTCAACAGAGCAGGAACCAGAGTACACTTCACCACTGCTGTTACAAGTAGTTGTATCATTTGTATCTGATTCTAGTACTTTGAAGACATTACTGTTATCCAAAGCCTTGAAAATTTATCTCTCTAAAGTAATTTATAAATAATGAAAGTCATACAAAAATGAAAAAACATAGGTACTGTAAATTAGTATTACTTTAATCTTCTATTAGTTTCCTACTTTACTTAAAGACTTAGTTTTATTTTCAGGGCAAAGTCCTGTCTACCAGGAATTTTTATCCTTAGAACATTTCTACAGTATATTTCCTAATAAAATTTGAAATAAGTCTTATTTTCCATAGACCAAAACAGAAAGATAAATACTTTTCAGTAATTTTTTAAAAAATTCTTTCCAGGTATATTCTGAAATTCAAGAAGTATAAAAAAATTTAGCTCAAGAGTTCTGAAGTTCTAGTATATCCTTTTGAACTTTTATTCAACCAAGTATTAAATAATGTAGAGTTGATAAATTCTAAGATCTTTTAAAATAAAGAATTAAAAAGTTAAAAACTTACACTCAAGCTGTGCAACCACATCTCCAGGGTCTACTGCTTCAGGAAACACCTGATGTGGGAGCAGAAGGAAGGGGTATAAGTGAAGAAGGAAGGAAAGGAAGATGTAATGACTTTTCTTCTGAAATCTCACATTCCCCGAATATCGTTCCTTTCCCAGCCAAACTTACGGTGTTAGCAAGAACTGTCCATTCCTCTCTGCATGCCATGATGCCATGATTACTATTTTTTAAATTTTATTGTAAAGATGATATAAATCAGGTAATGCGTATATTTCTTTTTGAACAGTGCTACCCTCTCCCTCATTCTCTCCCAGTTTTTCCCCATCTCGACTTCCCTCTCCCCCCAGTTGTATAGTTCATTTCCAACATAGTGTCTAGTGAGTATCACTGCTGAATTGGTTCACTCTTTGTCCCACTGTTTCTGTGCTTCCTCTTTTCTTCCCCAAATCAGATAAACTTACATACAAGAAAAAGTGACAAATGAAAATAAACAAAAGAAAAAAAGAACTTTAAATAGTACAATAAAAAACCCTCTTGTTTCCATTTCTTGGAGTTCATTTCAATAAGCATCTTTTTATATGATCATAGGCTCACAATTGAGCTTTTGTGATCCTCTCCTAAGAATATCCTCCTTTGTTCTCACTGTATGAGTGCTTCCTCAAAGAACAATCCAATTAATAAGTGTGCTAAAGACTTAAAGAGAGACTTCTCAGAAGACGACATAAGAATAGCCAATAGACACATAGATATTCTACATCTCCGGCCATAAAAAAAAATGCAAATTGAAACAACATTGAGATTTTACCTCACCCTAGTTAGAATGGCCATTATCAAGAAAACTAACAATAACAGATGCTGGTGGGGATGTGGCCAAAAGAGAATGCTACTATAAATTTTATAGCTGGTTCTGCCTCCTCTCCAATCCCATCTGTTAGAACTCTTTTCTTTATTAGTTACCATGATCATATTGGCCTTCTTGGTGTTCTCTTAAGTCAGCAAGATTATTCCTAACAAATATAAAGGCTTTTATATTTGCTATCCCTCTACTTTCAATGCCTTCCTCTTAGACCCTTCAAATAATTGATAGCCTCACTTAGGCTCTGTTTAAGTGTTACTGTTTTCTCTGACCATTCTTCAAAATCTCTCTAACCTCCTTGATCTCCTTTAATTCTCTTTATGCACCTATCAAGCTCTAAATGGAGAACATTTTTCCTTGTTTAGCATAGGTCTTCAGCTGTAAATAGTGCTCTGTCCTATGGCATAGAGGAGGTACTAGGTAATTATGAGGAGGAAATAGGTAGGAAAGATGAAAGTGAATTAATAACACCCAAAGCAACAATTTGGGTAGAAAACAAAGGAAAAAGTATGACAGAAACAAGAACTACAAGGTAGTCATAAACAAGATGTGGCATACTCTTACTTCTTAATGTCTTCTTTTCTTGTGTGAAAATTGTAATTCAGAATTCAAGGTAAATTGCTTTACATAAAGCCCACTAAGACAATGATGGAAACAAGCTTATTTACCAAGAAAAAGGCAACTGATTCAGTGCATAGTATAATGTATATTTATTCTGAAACTTCTCCGTTTACAATTTTGGATTAATCCAAAGCATGGAGTCAGCAAATTTCTAATAATTTGTTTACATAAAAATTTGTCCAATGATAAGGTTGGCTTTTACTAAAAAACTGGAGTCACTTGGCTTTTGTGTTTGTTTGCTAATACTTGGTCCAATATTTGAACTTACCTTTTCAAATACCATTCTGGCATTGAAGACCAGTGGAAAAGTGGCTGGGACACATTGTGTCTTTTTATACTGGCCAAACACACAGATGCTAAGGTAGATGTCCTCCTTGTCTTTCAGCACCACTCCTGGACAAGTTACCTGAAATAAATCAAGTGGATATTACTGCTTTATAAAAATTCTGTGAACTGTCCTACCAATATAACTCATCAAATATTACATAAAAAGAGAGGTCTGGCACTCAAATGGAAATACAAAGAGAAAGAGAAAGAGAGAAGTCTACTGTTCATAGAATTTACTTTAAATGCCTTGATAATTTCCATTCCTTTGAGAAAGCTACACTTTTCCATTGGGTTATTTGTGCCACATTTGAAACACTATGTACTTGTTCTTGAGACAGACATTAATCATTTTAAGCAGTCAGTCTTAGGCTCCAATTTTGCTGAATTGCTGATATAAAGTTATTCAGCATCATTTAATCACAAAGAATTAACACTCAGCAGAAATACAACATCATATTAGAGAACAAAAAATTGCAGATGAAAAGGACAAATCTGATCTTCATCACCCTAAATAGAAATTTATAGATAATATGCTCAAAAGCAACATGACAAAAATTCAAACCTGGTGAATTGAAAGTGTCTTGCTTAATATAGTACTTTTAAATATTAAATAGTACTTAACTGCCTTATTATGATTTGACAGAAAGCAGAGGCAGAAAATCTGCACTTTCTATGTAATCCATAGCCCTTTCTTCAATCCCTGCCATATTCTACTGTCAATGGTCAATACCCTAATGGGATCTTAAATGGTCCCCAAAATTTGAGTCTAACATAGTAACATTAATATAAGTCTTGGAACGGGAAACTGTTCAAAAAGAAATGTACTGACTACGTGACTTATGCAATTGTAACCCATTTGTACATTACCTTTACACTAACAATAAAAATAAATAAAATATGTCCCATCCCCTAACAACATACTGAAATATATGGAAGCTGGGCATAATGAAAAGTGCCTATAATTCCAGCACTCAGAAGGCTGAAGCAGGAGGATTAAAAAGTCCAACACCAGTTTGTACTACACATCAAGTTTGAGGCTACTCAGGTCAATATTTTACAACTCTCTTAAGGTGAGATTATTATCCAGATTCATTTTAATGAAATAAATATACCTCACTTTCTGTTTGATTATAAAGTCCCTGACAAAAGAAATTCTATTTTCTTTATCATTTATATCCAAAGATATGGGTTTTCATGATTAAGAAGGGTAGAGATTGTCTAGTACATCTCCAGATATTTTATAGAGAGAAACAATAAATACTCCCAAGGAGTATTTTCTGTTTGATTATAAAGTCCCTGACAAAAGAAATTCTATTTTCTTTATCATTTATATCCAAAGATATGGGTTTTCATGATTAAGAAGGGTAGAGATTGTCTAGTACATCTCCAGATATTTTATAGAGAGAAACAATAAATACTCCCAAGGAAGTTTAGGTGATCTACTAACTTAAGATCACAAAGTGAATGAGCCATAATATTAAGGAAGATATCTGAAGTGCTTAGAGCATTGACTGACTCATCAATAGTACTCAATACCATTATTGCTAGAATAAATTATCTGCCATCTTATCTGACTATTGCATTCAATAAGTGACTAAGACTTTCTGCCCCTTGTACATAGCAGTTAAGATATTGTTGAGTATTTACATTTTTACCATATTTTCTACCTTTCCATTATGTTCACAACTGATCACAAACATCGAGGTTCTCAGCAAATCCTAGTGCATCAGGTCCAGTTCTTACTACATACCATTAAGGACAAAACTATCAGAGTCCCTCTAAATCTACCATTCCAGAGTAGCTGCTATCCACTGATACCAACAGCTATGGTTAGTCCAAATTCAGTTGAGCTACAAATGTAAAATACATACTGAGTTTTGAAGATGTGGTATAAAATGCAGGTAAATATCTCAAAAATTTTGTATTAATTATTTATTGAATGACAATATTTTAATATATTGATTTCAGTAAAAAGTATCATTTACAATTAATTTCTTCTACTTCTTTTAACTTTTTATGTCAGCCTAGAAAATTTCAAATTGCATCTTCGGTTCAAATTTGAGACTCTGAGCATACCTCTATTGGACAAAGCTAATCTATTTATGATCACTGAGGACTGGTCTTTTTCCAATTTCTAACACAGGCTAGAAACAAGATGTTTTTCTCATCTACACTGCTAAAAATTCTTCCATTATTAAAAAAAAAACCTCAGCAGCTTTACAGAAAGCAAGAAAAGAGAATTTTAAATCAGAGAGGAAACGTAGAAAATAATAAGCAAGGTGGTTAACTGAAGTCCTATTCTCGGTAATTTAAAAGGCTATAAACATGTTCAGAGTTGTTCTTACAGCCAGAAATGAGCTAGAAAGCTGTGTTCTCCCACTGTTAGCTGATATTAAAGCTCTGGGTAAGTTGGAAGTAGAGACTGAGTTTGGCAACTGCCTACAGGGGCACAAAAAGCATGCCCCCAAATGTACACAGAGATCTTTAGCAAAAGCTAAAGTTCAGGGCATTTATTTTATTTTATGTATCTATTTGTGCCAATCCTGGGGCCTGAACTTAGGGTCTGGGGCCTGCCTCTGAGCTTTTATGCTCAAAGCTAGTGATCTACCACTTGAGCCACAGCTATACTTCTGGGTGTTTGGTGTGGTTACTTGCAGATTTTCCTGCCTGGTTTGGCTTCAAACCACAATCCTCAAATCTCAACCTCTAGAGTAGCTAGGATTAGGGCACAAGGCACTGGCATTCAACTTGGGTTGTGTTCTTTAAGGAAATGTTAAGCCCAACTGAAAGAAAGTCATGATTAGTGCAGACAATCTTGCCACAATCCCTTTTTTTGGTTACATAATCAGGCTGTTCGGTTGACTTTCTGAACAGCCAGAAGATATTATCTGTGTTGCAACAGTGTCAATAAAGGCTTCTCTATTCTTCCTTGCCTACTTCTGACTGTCATGGATAGTGAGGAGGCTGAGCTGGTAATATCAACAACAGAAAGAGAAAAACCTGTAGCTTGCACATGTGAGGGTGTTGGCAAGGCAGCTGCCTCCCTCCCTACAAAACAGGAAGTGACAAGCAGCTCTCACAACAGTGGAGACTGTCATGAGGAGTGAAGGCCAATAAGCCACAGTCAAGAATCCATGGCAAGCCAGGAGCCGGTGGCTCACACCTGTAATTCTAGCTACTCAGGAGGCTGAGACATGAGGATCCTGGTTCCAAGCCAGCCTGGGCAAGAAAGCCCATGAGACTCTTATCTCCAACAAGCCACTGAAAACCAGAAGTGACACTGTGCCTCAAGTGATAGAGCACTGGCCTTGAGCTGAAGAGCACAGAGACAGAGCCCAGGCCCAGAGTTTAAGCCCCACCACCGGCCAAAAAAAAAAAAATCCATGGCAGCAGAGATGTCAGCAAAAGAAGCTAAAGTAAAACTGGTATCAGCTGATCAGGGTGAGCCATGTAAGGCACTTTCTACTGTGAGACCTTGCCAGAGACATGAAAGAGCTGACACACTTCCTGCTTCAGGTCCTGAGGCTGAGGCACAAGAGAGCTGTCAATTTCAGATGCCACAACTGGGGAGGCCCAAGAACTGTGACGCTGAGGAGCACCTCACAGTAGGTGCCACTGCCTCTTGTCATCCACTGCCTTGGCTTACCAAAAGAACACCCCACCAAGTGCCCTGAATCACGAGCAAAGCTTTTTCTTGCTTACCCACAATTTCTATCAGGGCACAGCAGGATTCCAGTCAACTGGTTTGTGACAAATATGACTTGAAGACATAAAGTTAACTGAGCAAAGACTGGTAGCCAGACATGGCAAAGAATATATTTGCACCACTAGTTCAAAAGTGACTAAACAGAAAAGAAATACCGCTACCAATAACAGACAATGATACACATGGGATATGGGGGACGTCTGATTTTCAGAGTTCTTTACTATATTATTTTAAATGCCAAGTTTCCAACCGAAAGATACAAGAAGAAATAAGAAGCACGGCCAGTGCACAGAAATCCAGAAGTTGAGTTTAATGATAAAGACTTAAAATCTATTATAACTATGTATAAATGAATAAAGGAACTCTTGCCAAAGACGTAAAGAACCTTTCTCTTCGTGGATACCACCAAGGAAGCATGGCTCAAGGGACTCTTCCCACCCCTTTTTTGCAGTCATGTCTCCTAAGGAGCCTGAACAGCTGTGGAAGCTCTTCATCAGAGGGTCAATGAAAGTCTGAGGAGCCATTTTGAGTGATGGAGAATCCTCTTGAACTGTGTGGTAATGAGAGATCCCAACACCAAGCACTCCAGGGGCTTTGGGTTTGTAACTTGTGCCACTGTGAAGGAAGTAGATGCAACTATGAATGCAAGACCACACAAAGTGGATGGAAGAGTCGTGGAACCAAAAAGAGCTGTCTCAAGAGAAGATTCTCAGCGACCAGGTGCCCACTTAACTGTGAAGAAGATTTTTGTTGGTGGCATTAAAGAAGGCACAGAAGAACACCACTTACGAGATTACTTTGAACATGACTCTGTGGACAAGATTGTCATTCAGAAATACCATACTGTGAGTGGCCACAACTATGAAGTAAGGAAAGCCCTATCAAAGCAAGAGATGACTAGTGCTTCTTCCAGCCAAAGAGGTCTAAGTGGTTCTGGAAACTTTGGTGGCAGTTGTGGAGGTGATTTTGATGGCAATGACAGTTTTGGTCGTGGAGGAAACTTAAGTGGTCGAGGTGGCTTTGGTGGCAGCTGTGGTGGTGGTGGATATGGCGGTAGTGGGGATGGCTACAATGGATTTTGTAATGACGGTAGCAATTTTGGAGGTGGTGGAAGCTGCAACGATTTTGGCAACGACAACAGTCTTCAAATTTTGGACCCATGAAGGGAGGAAAGTGGGGGCAGAAGCTCTCACCCCTATGGTGGTAGAGGCCAATACTTTGTCAAACCCCAGGTGGCTATGGCAGTGGAAGGAGGTTTTAATTACTGCCAGGAAACAAAGCTTAGCAGGAGAGGAGAGCCAGAGAAGTGACAGGGAAGCTACAGGTTACAACAGATTTGTGAACTCAGCCAAGCACAGTGGTGGCAGGACCTA